AGAATCCAATCTAATTTTTCCAAAAATCTAGTTCCGTCTATGTTTACTACGTTAGAATCAGTAGTAAAGGGATCCAGCAACACAGCATTCAATGGCCAGCCTTTCGCTGAATTGATGCAGCAATTATACGACGATTTAAATCAGCGATTTCCCAATATAGATGATTTACAGTACTTGTGTCAATTTTTCCAGGCTCCTAAAGCTTTTATGTATGATCTTAAACGCCTCGAGTCTACAATAGTTAATTTTACACGCGTAAACGGTGTACAACTCTCCGTTGAAATGGAAGAATTTATTACATTCGATTTACCTTCGTGCAGTTCAGATGATTTATGGAAGATAATAATCGAAGGTAATCATTTTCCAATTCTCGCAGAATCGTACAAACGGATGCGTGTGATGTTCGGAACAACATACCTTGGCGAATCAGGTTTTTCTAATATGAATCGCATTAAAACGTCCGGTAGGTCGGCATTAGGAGATGAGAACCTCAGAGAAGCCATGCTTGTGAGTCTCAGTAATTATAAACCTCATTTCGAAAAAATCATGGAATCTATGCAAATTCAACGCTCGCATTAAAATTAAATCATTTACAGTTTTCATTATAACCTTGTCGCTAGATATTGACAATTACAGATTTAATATAATTTGACAACTCTTAGCAGCATCGGATTAATGGGAGATTCTCCAAGAACCTGGTATTCGTGCGATTGTTGCTATGAAACTATTGTAAATACATTAGTAATAAGATTTTTTAGGATTAAATTTTTTCCTATTTCCTGCACCTTTTGTTCCTTTCCATTACCCATGATGGAAGATGTCTACCACCTTCCAGCGGTTTCCATTGAGCAACATTCCATAATCTTGGCCAATTAATTAAAAATATATTCAAATGTATGTATTTCAAATTTCTAATTATTTTCGTCAAATTTATAGTCCCACATGCTGTCCTTCCATCGAAGTTAAAGATCAGAAGGTACGATTCACCGGAGAAATAATGAGAAAATTGATTTTCTCATGCTATGAATAAAAAATTTCATTTTTCATTTTGACGTGGCAAAATGAGCAAAAATCAAAATGTAATATGAAAATCGGCAATGAAATTTCCAGGAATATATTCCAAAGTCGACAATGGCAACTTTTCATTTTTCAAAGTTGGAGTTCTAATATTATTATTTGAAAGAAAAATAATAATGGCCGACTACCATTTTGGAAATATTTTCTCCAAGGTTTTCCTATGCAAATTTTACTTTTTCAATTTTATATTTAAAATTAAAAACTGAAATTTAGCGCGAATTCCGGTGAGTCGGCCATTTTTATTCGACTCGCACGCCACTCTACGTGGCTGACGACAATATCGTCACCACTGGGACTTACTCGCACACAATGGTTGGCTAATTGGGTACCCATTAGGATGAGAGGATTATCCCGACCCTTGTAATAGGCTGGCTCCCGACTACCTGAAGGTTGCCGGGCCCTGCTCTATACCAGGGCTACCCAATGGGTAGCCAATTAGCCAACCATTGTGAGCGAATAAGTCCCAGCAGTGACGATATTGCAGCCAGCCACGTAGAGTGGCGTGCCAGTAGCATAAAAATGGCTGACTCGCTAGAATTGGCGCAAATTTTCAGTTTCAAATTTTAAATAGAAAATATAAAAATTAAAATTTACAATGAAAAACCCTCAAGAATATATTTAGGAATTGGTTTTGGGTAATTATTATTTTCCTACCAAATAGTGCCACTCTAAATGTGAAAAATAAAAATTTGCCGCGGTTATTTTTGGAAGATACTATTATATATTATATTATATTCCTGATGGTTTTTTTCATCCCAATTTCAACCAATCAAATGCTGGCATTTTCATTGAGTTCACAATTTTGACTACTAAATTCAAAACCTCGTCGATAGAAATTTTTTTCATGCAGAGAGCTAATCTATGTAACATGCAATGAATTGATTTAAACAGTGGGAAATCTGGGTCATTACCGCACCGAGTGAGAAAACCTTTCAATTTTCCGGTCATATTTGCAGCCCCGTCGGTTGCAATCGAAACTAATTTTTGTAACGGTAATTTCGCCAGCATGAGTTCATCTTTGAACGCTTTGTAAATTTCTTCTCCCGACACGTGTTTTTTAATCGGAAAAAGTGTCAGCATTTCTTCTACAATAGACATATCCGGTAACGAAAAACGAACGAAAACTATTACTTGCGCATGACCGGCGGTATCTGTTGACTCATCTAATTGCAACGAAAAATGATGACACTGAGTAATGTCATCAAGCAATTGCTCACGAAGATTGGAACCGATAGATTCTACCCTGCGTGCGATTGTTCGCGACGATAGAGAAACTTCGCCAACAAACTTATTAACCCGATCTTCAATTTCTGTTTCTCCAAATAAAATATTAAAAACATCTGTTAAAATTTCTTTAAAATCTTCCCCGTCGGAAAATGATCTTTTCTGTTTGATCAAACGATATGCGGTGGGAACCGAGATGTGTGCACTCGTCGTTGCATCATCATTTATTAATGGGTTTTTCGGTAGAACGGTGGTTTGACACTGACTTTTTAATGACGTGATTTTATTTTTACGGGACTGTGTATGAAGCGGAAATTTCGCGTCGAAATCGGGATGGATTAATTTAAAATGTCTACTAATATTGAAGCTTTTCAGGTTGCCGAAGTGGTGGGCGCACAATAAACAAATAATCGCGTCGCTACTTGACTTACTACATGTATATAAATATTCCCACTGGATTTGATATTTGTCCGACCGCGTGTCTTGTGCTGGAGACTCGAGATTGGCAAAATCTGACGTGCAATCATGATTATTTTTCGGTATTTCATCAAAACCCGTGCCCGCGGTGGCTTTCAAAGACCGGATCTCATTCTGGCGCGATAATGAATGTAATTGAAAATTTTCGTCATACCCGGCGAGTTGTCCGAAATAGTGCCTTCTGATATTTGACGTTTTCAAGGTACGGAACTGTTGCAAACACAATAAACAAATGGCTATCTCACCAAATTTTGAGCACATGTACAGGTGTTTCCACTCGGCTTTAAAATTATCAAGACGTAGCTCCTTCGCGGGCGGTTCCATGTTTTAGCAATAAAAAATCAAATTTTAAACTTTAAACCACACAAGTTTAATTCTCAAACTTCACTTTCACAAGTTGAGCGCAAGTCGTGCAACTTCAGCAACAAGTAGATTGTTCTTCGCTTGCCCAGAACAAACTGATCGCAAATTGTTAAAATTTAAGTTTCAATGCAAAAGAGCCTTCGCTCCCACAAACCCCTCTTTCCAAATAACAATTTTTATTGCTAAACTAATTACGCCATTGGCTGCAGGAGCCCCGGGGGGAGGGGAGATCGAATCACGATCAGTAAGGGTAGGTAGGTACCCCATTCCTACCTGACCTCACCGCACCCACCCCCTAGCACTCTTATGATGCAGGTATGCACGTGCCAAGTTCTAATTGAAATTCGTTCCAATTTGACATTGCTCGGGTGCGTTTTTATTAGCCCAATTCTAATATTTGGATTTCCAAGAAAGTCACTTTCAATATATTATAGTGCATCATAAAATAAGTCCAATTCCAACATTTAGATTTTCAGGAAATCCACCTTTAGTATATGACAGTGCATCATAAAAACCGCTTTTTCCATTGAGCATTTCCATTCATCGAAAATCTCGGGCATATTTGTCATTTATTATGGGCTATCTCAGTTCTGTGCATTGCTAGTTTCTTCTCAGAATTCTTATTTTTATATCTCTTTATTCTTATTCATTTCCTCAGCAAGGACTATCACAACCATTGCTCATAATATAATAATTAAATCGTAAAATAATTCGTGGACAAATAGTGGTATAAGACTTACACCACTATTCATTCACGAATTGTTTGCTTCATATTATTGGGTACAGTTACCGCTCCAGCTCAGGAACGGACAAGTATTTTATTTTATGTGTTTCATTGCTGCAAATATCGTCTGGAGACAAAATAATTGTCAAAGCAGATTCCTCATCATGAAAACATTAAAAAAAAATTTTTTTCCTCATATTGCTGCCTATTTCGAATAAAAAAAATTATATTTATAATTCAAATTGATGGAAAATCAAAATTCCCGCTCGATCGCACGGTGGCCCTCTGCCGGTATCGGTCGAACCAGAGCTCAAGCAGAGAGAGATATCGAATTAAACCAGGTAGTTTTGTTACGTGGATGAGGCCCCTCTCCCAGCTCTGACTAACGAAGGTCGGGAGCCGCGTGAGCCTAATGAGCCCAGGTTGCCGGGCCCTGCTCTATACGCACCCTGCTATACTCCAAGCCCGAATTAGTTCAGACGCCACCGCTACGAAACTTTCATGCGGAAGCTTGTTCATACGCATGAGTATCTCTCCTGTCGTCTCTGGATAAGAACAGGAAAAGAGAGAGAGACAGACTTTATATTCGTTGCCAACTTTGACTAACGAATCTAACGCTGAGGGAAAATAAAATTGTGGGAATATGACATTATGATGGTTGCTATGGGAGGATATTTTTATGTACTGAATCAATCGAGAAAGTAAAAATATCTTCATAAACCTCACAGTCAACTTATATAATGTAACTAAGGCCCGATTTCTCGAAAAATTTTCGTATTACGAGAAAAAAAATCAAACACATTTTTGGAGTAGCTGTGTTGTACATATACGCAATAGCATCGGCATGTGACGTCGCACCGATAAAACCTCCATTTGACCAATAGACGGTCGCGTATCTTGATAGCTTTTCGGTAATTTTACTGATTGCTCTTTTATTATAGAGTTAACGCAATGTTTATGAAGATTTTTTTTTCAGCTGTAACTACTAAAAAGTCTTGACAAATTTCTGGTATGGTCTCATACTTTTTAACTTTCCAAAATCTTGGTTGATCCTTGAAATTTGAATGAAGTTAAATTCCTCGTTTCTGGAAAACTAACAATTCAATCTTTACCTTGATTTTTTTCCTCTTTTTAGATATCCGACATCCACATTAGCATTTTTAAGGACCCCTCTAGAATAACCGAATTGAAGGAGTTCTGCGATGTAACTGTTGATGCATTCAATCCGCCGGTAGTACTAGCCTCTGGTGACTTGACTGACGCGAAAAAGAAAGATGCTATGGGCTCTAAACAAGTATTGGATGAATGGAAACATTATAAAAGAGTTCTGGATGAATCTGGAGTACTCAAGAGGACTACTTGGCTTGATGTCAGAGGGAATCATGGTAAAGTTGACGAACAATTTTTTATCACAAAGAATTCAAAAGAAACAGAAGAAAGCTGATTTGAGGCGAACAATCCATGAACAGATAAATTGTTTAATATCGTCTACAGCAACAGGCTGTTACTATTGTCGTTTAAAACCTTTTGTTTCCGAAATGTGCGAAGAAGAGTTGATGTAAAATTCCATAACGAATAGATTCATTCACCGGTAATTAGCACCATATCTTTTCTACATTTTTTCTCCTGAAAATTCAGGTAAATGTGAAATTTTTTGGCCCAAATGTATCGGAGCCTGCTTACATTTACTGAACTAATCCCTTTACGACGAAAATTAGTGACTGTTTATGCTTCATACAGAAAAGATTATTTATAAAATATGAAATTATGTTTCGCCGTCTCGTCTTCCAGATCAAATGTGTAGTAACGCTCTTACCATGTGCTCCATCACAGAAAATCATTGTAGAGTAAGAAAAAACGGTTCCTTCCGTATATCACTACGCCCGACGAAGTCTTTTCCGTGCTGATTTTGATGAAGAAATCCTGAGAACCCTGAAACGTTTGGAGAAAGACACAAAGGGACTCAGAGGAAAAGCATGGGCAAGTTGTGCCGCTCTGCCCAACTTGATTCGAGAGACAAATCTCGTTCTAAGTAACGAGTCCGGGATTCGGCTCGTCCAGCTCTGTTTCTAATCACCGAAGGTCCAGATCCCGTTCACCTGGGTCATCCTTAACATCGGCTAGCTCATCTCCAGAGCCTAAAAGAAGACGTTGTACCAGCTAGGCCGACTTACAGTAGCCTGGCACGCTATCCAATAATTATGCCTCAGGGAAACACGTCCTTGATCATCGTCCAGATCGCAGAGTGCAAGTTCCGGGTAGTGTGTTCTCATCCCTACGCAAGGAAGAAGACAAAGAGATCCGGTTCGTCTCCGCAATCCGGCGTTGGAGAGGACATAGGTATGCGTAGGTAGCTGGGCAGCTCTCAGTCCCATGAGAGGAGGAGAGAACGAACGAGCCTTGCAGAGGCTCCACTCCTTGCGGTGCCCAACGCTAGTACCGAAGCGTGAGGTATTAAGGCGCGTCGTATGACGTACTGGGAAGCGCTGCCCGATAGATTTGGGTGTACACACATCTAGCGAGGGCTACATCATTTTCCTTATTGGAGATTTCCGCCCAGGAAATCTGAAAGGGAACCTAACCCGCTTCGTTGCTTTTGGCGCAACTTCAATAGGAGCCAGCAGAGAACTTGTTGACGGTTGAACATCCATGTAGTTGTGGTGTATGCCGCGAATACTCCGAATCTGGTGATCCAGTGGTCTCAGAGAGCATGTGTCACAGTGTGTGTGGAGGCTTCCCTTATTGGGATCGCGTAAAACGATCCACAATCGCAAAGCAGTACCGGCACTCATTCAACACAGGTAGCAGAACCAAGTCGATGTGAATACGCTCGAACCTCTGTGAAGGAGCGTGAAAATCAACAACTGATGTTGACGCGTGACGATGAACTTTGCTGCGTTGGCATTGGAGGCAGTGCTTGCTCCAGGTAGTGCAATCTTTGTTCATTGCACGCCAAACGTGGCGTAGTACGACAAGCTTCCTTGATCTCGACATGACCGCTAATATTCGTTCTTCTTGGTTTCAAGATGGAAGGGCGATGCCCATGGACTGTATGAGCGTCGGACGATACCGAGGTTGACTATTTTAGAGAACTCAGCTTGGGCGATGGCAAGCTTTTTCGAATGATAAAGCTCGCTACTGCGATATCTTCGACGGCAAGTATGCTTGTTCAAGGCCAAGCTAGAAGAATCTTCCCCTTCCACGGAGGTTTTCGACGGTTTCTCCCGGGATTTTTACCGGTATTTTCGCCTGGTGACCACCAAACTCCCACGGGGACGGCCCCCTGGGAATGAATGAACCCTCCATGCGCGATCGGCTGTGGTTTCCGAGTAAACCATGGCCGAAAAACACTCGTGAACACCTCGACGAAGGGACGACGCCGTTTGATCTGTTGACCGAGATGTATTAAAACCCGCGAATCACAAAACGGGTCTCCAGTCATCGGGGTGACTAGAAAAAACTAATTGGAATATTCTCTCATCTTGGCACGAGACTTGTGTCCAGGGTGGGATCCTCCCATTGCGTGCTGTAGTTAGGTTGTCAAAACCCTCTCTTATCACTTCCGCGTCCTGGTGATAACTGCCAAAAAGATGGCGGAACTCTTGTCTCGCCAGAACGTTATGTCTGGTAGATTAGCTGCGGCGGCGCCGGCGTCGCCCATCGCGCTAAACCTCCCCATTCAAATTTGAATGGGGGAAAATAAATCTTCCACTTTCTACCCTTCAACGCGATTATCGCGGCTAGTCTTTTCGGTTGGTTCCCCGGGGATGCGTGGATAACAAATTTCGACCGAAAAATACCCTACGCGACAAACACAATCGGCAATTCAGTGGAGTGTTGGTCGTGACCTTCCACCCTTAAACGTACCTGAAAACACCTCCCGGATCCCTCCTTTTGGGTGCTGGCACCCGCAGCCAGACTGTTCATCTCGGGAAGATTTCGCGAACGGAGTTCCTCCCGCCTACGCCGGATGATAATTTTGATTATGCTTCTTCGCGGTGTGATTGGAGGACCGACGCGATTTCCCCTATAATTAATCACTCCCTGATTTATGCCCTAACCTTAACCTCCCTGAAATTCTCTCCGCACTAGGCGTAACCTCCGGCCGATCCGGGGAACTTCACAAAAATTCGGTCATTAATTCAATTAATAAATTTTTTTTTCTTTTCCCTTTCTCCACAAATTGTGGGACTAATAGTTGGGCGCGGTCTTCTCTCTCTCGCTCCCCCACATAATCGATGCACGTCACAGCCTTTAGAGGGACACAGACAGCGGTAGTGATCCTGTGAAGCCGGATAATCAAGAAGGTACTTGCGGACCACGCGAAAATCAAGATCGGTTGGGTCAACTGCCCAATGGTAAAGGTGGATAGACCATTGGAGCGCTTCAGGTGCTGGCACCATGGGCAATTCGCCCTGCACTGCAAGAGTGAGATCGACGGATCCAGCTGCTGCGTTAAATGCGCTGAGCCTGGACACAAGGCGGCAGAATGCGCCAAGACGCCTAGGTGTGCGAAAGACGCTGAAGCAGGAGGGAAGGGGAACATCGACCACACCGTAGGTAGCAATGGATGTCCGCCGTTGAAAGCAGTGCTCCAGAAAAGTACAAAAACGAAGTAATCAGAGTGCTCCAAATCAACCTCAATCACTGTGCAGCCGCACATGACCTGTTACGACAAACGATGCGGGATTTGGGAGTTGACCAGGTGTAAGTGAAACGTGAAATGAAAAAATGGCTAGGAGCCGGATAGCTTACTTGGGAGAGCATCCGATGCATAATCGGAAGGTCCCGGGTTCAAATCCCGGTCGGGACTATCCATTGTTTCATTAATTTTTCTTGTAAAAATTACATCGAGAATTATCCTGTTCCTCTTCTAACCTAATCCAAATCCTATCCAACGACTCCTTTGACGTCACAAAAATGTGGAACGCTATAAAAACTTCCCCTGTTCTATGTAAAAATGCGGGGCCGTATTAAAAGCTTGATTTGGACTGCTGGGCTACCGGCAAAACTCAGAGAGCGGCCGGGCTTCGTGGGAGTCATGGTAGCTGAGATTCACGTCTGCAGCTGCTATATGCTATATGCCCCTCCGAGCCTCACTGCCGAGGAGTTCACCGCAGTTCTCGATCGACTGACCACAGATGCGAGACAGCACTCCTCTGTAGCCATCGCGGGTCATTTCAACGCCTGGGCCGTCGATTCGGGAAGTAGGGTGACGAACAGTAGAGTACAAGCGTCATTAGAAGCCATGGCACACTCAGACCTTGTGCTGATTAACAGTACAGAAGGCGGGGCGGGGGGGGGCTACGTACATGAGGGAAACGCCAGCTCTATGGCTAAGAGGTATGAGAGGGGAGCAACGCCTACACCACCGGCGACCACCGTGCCCTACTCTGGGAGGTTCGGTCCGACAGAAGGTCGAGGTGGACGCTGCCGAAGACTAACACTGTTGGCTGGAGAGTGAGTGCCTTCGACCCCAGCACCTTTATAGTGGCACTGGATGTAGGGCCACTCAATGGCGGCGACGCGACCGAGAAGGCCATGGGCATCATGCGCGAAATCACGCGACCCTGTGACGCAACCATGCCTAGAAAGAGCACGAACCACCGATGACCGCCAGTATACTGGGCAAGCGCAGTCCGCACGGTGGAAGCAAAACTGGACCACACTGAAAGGCAAGTACAAGGAAGTACGGCATAAGCTTGCGAAGGCCATCAAACGAAGTAAAGCCCATGGAGAGAGTTCACGACTCAGATGGAGGACTTGTAGCTTAAATGTCATACCTTGCGACCGCCTACGTGTCCAATCCTACTTAGCAGGATCCGCTTCTCCAGTCAACTCGACTTGGGCGCATCGACGGACAGAACGATCCGCACACGACTCTGCTCATCATTGTGGAGGAGTTGTTGCAGGTCGAAAGCCGAGTTGACTGCTCCACAGCCGCTGGCCCGGATGGGATTCGAAATGTCGCCATCAAGGCAGCCATTAAGGCCTTACCAGACCTCTTCCTAGATGTCTATAACACATGTCTCATAGAGGGCACGTTTCCCAAAGCATGGAAGAAGCAGAGGTTGGTGTTGCTCCCCAAGGAAAAGAACCCACAGCCAACATCGTATCGTCCCCTCTGTAAATTGGACACTGCGGGGAATTTGCTGAAGCAGATTGTCCACAAGAGGATTGAGGCCATCGTCGACCCCTTGCAGACTGGCAACCAGCACGGGTTTAGACGAGGAAGATCTACGCTCGGTGCCATTGACTTGGTAGTATCAACGGCCAGGGATGCGATCGCAGGATCCAGATGGAACAGAGGAGCCAAGACGTACTGCCTAATTGCTACGCTGGACATCCAAAACGCGTTCAAGTTGGCCAGGTAGGATTGCATCATGGCCGCGCTTGCGAGATTCGGGGTCCCTGATTACTTGCACATGATAGTAGAGGACTATTTCTCAGACAGTGTTTTGATGTACAATTCACAGGAGGGCCCAAGCGAACATAGGGTTACTGGAGTTGTGTTTCAGGGCTCTGTGCTGGGACCGCTCGTGTGGAACACCATGTATGTTGGCCCACTGAGGCTGGTTCTCCCTCTGCAGGTTAGGCTGATGGCGTTCATGGCATTCATGGACGATATGGCATTGGTAATAATCGGCAAAGAGATCGATGATATCCGCAATGGATGTAGACGGGTGGGTTGCGTCTGGCGGAGAAGAAAACCGAAGCAGTGCTGATTTTGGGTCGGAGGACCTTGGAGAACATCAAACTGAGAGTCAGCGACTTCAAACTCACCTCAGGGCCGTATATACGTTACCTTGGGGCATTGATCGATGCCTGACTCAACTTTAAGTAGCAGGTGGAACACTCTATTGGCACTGTCCCGACTTATGTCAAATATAGGCAGACCGTGACAAGATGGACACACTGCTTAATCCCGGAGGTGGCCACATGAGTAAACAGTGGCCAACAGACGGTACTGTGAAGTAAACTGAGGTAAAACTCAGCTACTATCGGGGCACGGTTGCTTCAGGGCTTATCTCCACAGATTCGGGCATGACGATTCCCCGGATTGTCTGATCTGCCTGGGGGCACCATGAAGATACCAAGCACGTCTGCTTCACCTGCCTACCGTTTGCACGCCAGCATGGCCGTTGGGAGGAAGAAATAGACGTGTATACTCGCCGGCGAAGCGATATGGGGGGACCACCAGCGACTTTCAGGAGGCGATCATGAAGAAGCTCCGAGTCGACGAACTTCACAGGAGAATGGCAAGCATGGCAGGTAGGCGAGCCATTAATGTTGTGAATGTACACTGGTGTTGGGAGAGCTGGTCCGCCTGCTGATGTACCCCCCGCGAGTCAATGCCTGCCGGCAGTTCCGCGGGGGGTCCACGGGACCAAGTGACGAGAGGAAAACAGAGGGTTTACTGAGTAAAAATCTCAGATCGGGCTTCGAATGACCTTAGCCAGAACCTATGGAGGTCTCTAAACCTCTATTTAAAAAAAAAACCGTCGCACCTTGTGCCTGTATCAGCTACCTGATTTTGACTCTCACCGTCTAGCAGTTGGAAAAAATTGGTCTACTTCGACTTAGTCTGTCGCCTGTCGCCTGGCATAAATGCATTCTTCTTCTTCGTATTAGTCTATTGACACCTTACGTGAGGAATAATAACCTTAAGAGCATTCGATTTGCCCTCCTCAAAGTTAACATGAACTTTACCTAGAGCGTCACCCAGTTCCGGGACTTATACAGAGTGTCTCAGAAGTATACGTCGATCCGAAAGCGGCGTGTACCGGGGATGATTCTGAGAAGGCCTTTCCTACTTTTCGATCAGAAGCACCCCTCAAGAGGTAATAGGGTGCAAAGAACAGCCAATGATGCTACAGCGTTCAGTGTCTATACGTCTGTGTGACTCCGCCCACCGGTGTGCGTAATTCACCTTCTCGTTAGGAGGGGGCAAAGTAGAGGAGCCGTTCTACGGGTAAGCGAGAGAGAACGAACCATATTTCTCTCGCTTTTAAACAATTAATAGAAAATTGTTCTTAGAAGCTACGGAAGATTATTAAAACATAATTTCAATTGATATAAGAATGTTAGCCCTCTATCAACAATCTATTTGAGGCGATTCTTCAATTGATAAATATCTGGGATATCCGGAGCCCTACCAAATTGTGTCAAAAGACCTGCGGTAACGGACCTTTCTTTCACGCCAAAGATGGAGCCCTCCGACGGGCAACATTGGAGGCTCCCAGGCAGATGACCATTGATGCATCTGTGGCTTTGGTATGGGCCCAGAAGGCATCATTGGTTGAGGTGGAAGGGTCAAAGGGGGGACCTGCTAAGACTAGGATCCGCAAGGGGCGCACTGGCGCGGAGAAGCGCAGGGCCCGCAAGGTAAGGCCTGAGACTTTGGCTATGCGGGAACAGCACTCCCCACAGGAAAAGGCCGACACCCCCCGGGGGGGGGGGGGGGGGCTGGACCGGATTCAAAAGGCCCAGTCCATGGGGATCACACCTCCGCAGGTGTTCCTAAAAAAAAGCGCAGGTGGGGGACAGCTTGGTGCGACCTCGTTCAGGTAGGCGATAAAGGGTGGTGGAAGAGTGGTCATCGTGCCATTCACCTACCCAAAGCCATCCCTTACGGAGGACCAGGCGAAACTCATCCTCGATGCCCTGGTGGTGGCGATGTGTGGGATTGCTCAGAATGGTTAGCTCCCGAGCTTCGAAAGTCATGTGTTTGAGCAAAGGATACTCTGGGTAACGTACGCTGACGCCTGGGGTAAGAACTGGCTCAAAGGCATGGCGGCCTCACTTCCCCCTTCGGAGGGGTCCTCTCTTGCCATCAGGGACAAGGAGACGCTCCCTAAGCTGACCAGAGTGACGGCTTTTCTCTGGCCAGGCTGGCCTGATCAGCGACTCCTCACTGGGAAGTGGAGAGTCTGAGACTGCAGGGAGGAAAAGGGAGGCACCAATCTCGTTCTGGAGATGGAGACTCCGGTTCGCTGGAGAGGCTTAGAGGAGACTGCCTGTGACGGACGCGTTTTTACGAGACCCGGAAGGAGATAGAGAATGTGACATCAGGCACTAACCGGCAGCGGAGCAGGGGCGCCTCCTGGGCAAGGAGGTCCAGAACGGGCTCTGGTGGCAGCTGTGGGTTCCAAAGGACTCTCGCGTGGGTCCTTCCGAGCGGCTCTGGACTCAGCCAGGGCTCGAACAACGTGAGGAACATGTCATACGGCCCACAGGGGAATCTTTGGTAAGGGCGCTCCGGTGACATAACCCCACCGCACGTGCGATGCTCCCAAATTAACGGGCAGAATTGTAGTAGAGCAAAGAGATATATGCCTAATACAGGATCCCTGGTGTTATGAGGATCTGGTGGCGGTTATGGTTCGACTACATAGTGGAGAATCGATCGAGCATACGGAGCATCAAGGAGCTGCAGGAACTTGTCACCGACACCGATCAAACCATGCAGAAAGGGGAGGAGGGTAAAATGGTGGAATCAAGAACTCGGAAGGCTGAGAGGTCCGATCAGGAGGCTGCAACCGAGTATTTCGCGCTAAGAGCGATGAGGACTGGATTCCGTACAGAAAAGTGCAAAGGTAGTACAAAAACTTCATCAGGAAATCGAGGGAATCCCCATGGAGAATCTTATGTGAGAAACTGAATACTGTCACAGGTGGCCAGGCTCCGCAAGGTTTTCTCTGGCGGATCCACACAAGGTCTGAGTGGAATTACGCTGCCCAACGGTGCAGCCATCAGCCACCCAGAACATATCCTGGAACATTTAGTCCAGGTGCACTTCCCCGACGTAGTTATATAGGGAGAGGGGTGCTCCGAAGTGGCTCAAATACGACCAGGAAGGGGCCGTTCAGATTGGAACCTGAAGATCGTGACGTCGAGCAGACTGCAGTGGGCGGTCAACTCCTTTGACATGTACAAAAGCCTGGGCCCTGACGGGATATATCCAGCTTGTCTGCAGCGGGATAGCAGGACCGCAATGGTCACTTCCAGAAGAGTTTAAAAGTGAATCTTGGTAGTGGAGCAATGGAGGCAGGGGGTGACATAGAGTGGACGCCACAAAGGGGCTGGTCTGGTACACGAATGGCTCCAGAATTGGTGACCGAGCGGGAGCAGGAATGTGGTCTGGGGGGCCTGCAGCTGGAAGGGCTCTCGGACTGACTCGTATACGACTGCGCTTCAGTCACATCTTGCTTCACTGAGGGCATGTGCGAGGGAAATCCCGGACAGAAGGGATAGAGGTCTGAAAATATATATCTGCTCAGATAGCAAGCACGTATTGAGGGCACTGCTCAAATATGAAAGCTGCTCTCGACTTATGAACGTCTATATTGAGCTGATGGGAAGGGTTGGCGCTCATAACCAGCTGGAAGTGGTCTGGATTCCAGGCCATTCCATCATTTCATCACATCTTCGGCAATATTAGAGCCGATGAGATGGCCAAAAAAAGTTGTCTCGAGGCTGCGCCAACAGGGGAGAACGTGGTGGGTGTGCATATAAACCTTGTCAAGGATATGATTCGGAAACAAGCGGAGAGACATTTTCTCGTCCCACATTTTTCCAGCGGTGCACAGATTCGGTAAAGTGGTCACTTCCATGACTAATGTCACCTAAGTGACCGGCCGGAGTTTCAACGCCTTGAGGGGAAAAAAATTTGTCATCCCTTCGCATGTACAAAGTTAATATATCATATCTCGTCAAATGCTAGTGACAAATGGAACAAGAATTAGCTCATTTCTAACCCACGATTGATAAGATAATGCTTGAACATCGATGATGTTTTCCCGATATAGCGGTGAGAAATTCGATTTGATCGTCTCTTCATATTGATACTTTTCTTAGAAAGATACTAGTTGCCGTTGTTACGAAAGTGTTCATTAGTTCTTTCGAGGCTCTGAGCAGAAAAATCAATTTGTCGTTGGTTTTCATGTGCACATTTGAGTATAATATATCTCTACTGACAGTACAGAAATATGGTCGAAAATCGATCGTATTTTTTGATCCTTAGTCAATGAAATATGCAAGAATGATTGAGAAACATCTTTCTTGTGCACTCTCATAGCGAATTCAAAGAGAGATACGAAACGATACGAAGAACTTATTGAACCCTTTGTCTTGAAAAAATGGTTACTTCGGCGACAGGTGACACCAAAGTGAATTAAGTATTTCGAGGCTCTAAATGGAAATCTCAATCTATTGCTGATTCCTAAATGCGAGATTAAATATATGATCTGTCGTCAGATACTATTTTCATATGAGAAATTTATTTGAAATTTATTCGAATTTGTTTATCCGTTTCAAAACTCCATTTTTATCACTTCAAAATAAACTATACGTTAAATTCTCACGCCTTGAATTTCAGATAACTTCAATGTTCTCAACTTGAAATCCTCCGAGAACTACTACTTGAACTATTCAGTCCAAGGAAAATATCATCCACGTTCATATTTGCACCACATAAATCATAAGTCGGAGAAATATTCGTTTATAGCGATTGACGCTTGCTTGGAGCCTGGACCTAAACGTCCCTTCAATTTTGTGGGCTTCCTCGATGAGCCAGAGATAGACAAGATAAAGAAACTAGCACAACACTCCAAGGAACTTGGTAGTGACTATATCATCTGGTTCGGGCATTATCCAACATCCTGCATCCTCTCACAATGTGATAATGGTCTGAGAGAGATTATGGCTGAACATAGAGAGGGAATGGTCTACCTTTGTGGACATTACCATACCCTAGGAGGAATTGCCCCTCAGATGTACACATTGCAACGAGGGGGATACCTAGAGCTAGAACTTGCTGATTGGAAGGACAATAGGATGTACCGAATAGGAGTAATTGATCATGGACAATTCTCATTCAGTGATAATCAGCATAACGACTGGCCTGTTGCTCTCATCACGAACCCAAAACATATATTATTTTCGATGCCCCAAAGGGAAAATATCAAATCGATCATCGAGTCCACGCATATGAGAATCTTGGCGTTCTCTACAGTTCCCATCAAGGCAGTTAGTGTCAGAATTGACGATGAAAAATGGGTTCAGTGTAGAAAAGTTGAGGGATCTCTTTATGTGGCGACATGGAATGCTTCGCGATACTTAAAGGGGATTCATAGTATCAAAACCCGAGTTGTGGATGAGCTAAATAGGAAAAAAGAGGTGGCACAAATGTTCGCTCTAGATGGGTCGAGGATGTCCTTCAAGTTACTTCCGAGGTTCCTGCTGATGTCTGATGCTAGCAAAATAGTAAGCATTATTATTTAGGTATTACGTCTGAATATCACTGAAAACATGACCAGAAAAAATATTGCGCGAAAATATTGGTCATATAAGTATCATGCGTTATAATATAGCAGCAACCCATATAAGGAATCTGGAAATGTTTTAAAAAGTGATTTTTTTAACACTTCACTTTTTTTTTCTATCATTATGTCTGTTTATTTAACAATTCATCACGTTTAACGGTTTGTTTCTCACACCAATGATAGAGAATAATAATCACTAATGATAATATACAATATATTTGAAAATTGTGTGAGTTATTTCACTTTGGTGTATTATAATTGAGTTCAATTAGTTTTCTTTTGTTTCATGTTACAGAAGTAGTCTTTATATGAGATCTATGCCAGTTCACGTCTTCGCTCTCTTTTGGTATTTAACTAATAATATATACTACCTTATAGTATATAATATATACCGTTGCGACGTAATTTTTGCAGGTTCACGGAACCCTTCATCCATTACTGGGCCCTCTGGCACCAATAGCCCGAACAGAAAATCCAAAATCAAAATGTTAGGCGCCAGGTCATTTAACAGAAATCCTCCGAAACCCTGCTCCACTTCCAACCTCTATAGCTCCAGCAGCTCAATACGTAGAGATTTGATTGGAGTTACAAGGTGAAAGGGGATGTGACTGGGATATCAAAAATCAAGCAAAATGCATCCATAAAATTGTCGGGGAGAACCACTTTTAATAAAAGCAATTAATCTCGATACAATAAAAAAATAGAAAAGAATTCATAAAATCTCCTTTGATGACGATTACGCGTTACTAACAAAAATCCAATTTTTCCTTGTACAAAATTCACTATCGTCTAGTTACGGTGTTCTGAAGTCCATAAATTTTAAATAAAACTAAGAATAAATAAATAAATAAGTTATTCACAATGAAGTCAGAATTAATAAGATATTGTAAACAACTGGGTCGCAAGACTCAATTGTTACTGGTCAACAAAAGTCAAAATTAATCACAAAGTTTTAAAGGAAATAGTCAGAATTAAATTCGATGACTCGAAACTACAGTAACACAAAAATGGATAAGTCTAGGTGATCTTCCAACTTGAAAAATGAAAACAAAACGAAGACAAATTCAATTCAAATAATTTCGAGATCACGTAACCTTCAAACAAGATCAGATTAGATTAGATTTGGGTACGCGGATGGTCGAACTAGACTCTCCAATGCCACCAAACTCAGATTAGAGTTATTGTAGCTCCGCTTGTTTTATGCGCGGATAATATGTCCAGCTCGGCCTTTGTTGCCAGTCTTAATAGATCCGTTGCATCCTTGTTCGCGACTTAATTTGTGGTGAGGAAGGCAGTTCCCCACCAGCGCTGTCTCGTCGCTGCTAGAGCCGGAGAGTCACATAGGATGTCCTCTTTTGCTTCATTGCAGAATCTGCACCACCTATCCGAGTCCATGCCGATGACTCTGCAATGTTCTTTAAATCTATCATGTCCTGTGAGCAGCCTGATCGTAGTGGCCAGGCTCTTCCTGTCCATTGTCAGTAGGTGTTTCGATCTTTTTTTGCTGCCCTTGCCTTCCTGCAGATCTTTGTGTCTTTCCACCGCTCGGATTGTTCACGTCGGAGCTTTTCCTTTATGTGGCTTACACCCACGGCATGGGGGACTCTCACTGGCAAAGACTCGTTCGCGTTTATTGCCCCCTGCTTGGCCAGCCCGTCTGACATTTCGTTGCTGTGGATGTCCTCGTGACCTGGGACCCAGCCAAGGGTTACCTTATTGCTGGTCCCCAGTTTTTCCAGGCTCTCCATGGTTTGCCAGACCAACTTAGAATCAGCACTGGATTTGAGAAGAGCTTCAAACTAAATAAAATCAGAATAAAATTCGATGGCGAGAAAATAACAAAAATTTACGACACTGACCAAATTCTAAAAGTCGCGAAACTCTAACTATTCAGGATAATAATTCTATCAAATAATTACATCAATAATAAAAATATTCAATATCAAAATTTAACCTGACAGAGAGAGAGCCAAAAATTCACTGATCGGAAATGCCAGAGATTCTCTAATGTGAATTCAAATGTGTAGTCCTGCAGGACTCAAATATTCAGAGCATCAATTGAAAAAAACACAGAATCTTTGCTCAAGACAAAATAATTGAAAAAATACAAAAGAAACGGCCATCACACTCATCCAGAGACCCGATAAATCCCCCAAAAACTCATCCGCTCTTAAATTTTGCGATGCTTAAATAGAATTTTCTGTTCTGTAATAACGAAAATAATTTGTCAGCGCTTCCCAAATATTTCAGAAATAATTCCTACGTTGATCGCAACCCTCGGAGAGATAACTCACTCACATAGTTAGTAATTAGCAAATTGGCTGCTGAAATTAATTTCTAAAAACCACTCACGCCAACATGTGTTGTCAATACGTTTATGGTAGAATTGGGATGGCGTGTACTTCAATTAAACTGAGAGGTCGTTTAAATATTCCCAGCTTAGAAAAAAAAACCGATTGCGATATTTTTAAGAGTATATATCGGGCATAATGAGCAACAAATTTGTGATTTATTTGTGACAGGATCTGAAAAACAGTGGCCGTCATTATGATTCTAAAATATTGATGTTGCTTGTACAGCTGAGCAATGTCGTCAAAGTAGATGACGATGAAATAATAATGGCGGGGTACTCTCAATGTAGTCAACTCCGAATATCTGACCGGCACTATAGTCACCCTGTCACCACGCCTTCTCTGAACGTGGTAGCTCCAAGCCCCTACCTCATCTTTAGCTTTTTTTAAAAAGAATTGCCATCTTTGGAGGTGTGATACTTGAGGACGTGGTTCTCTTTGATGTGCCGACCCCCCC